AGCTTCCTCTTCTCACTGTTCTTTGGTGTCTATGTATTTAGCATGGTGGGAAATGGGACCATTGTCTGTGCTGTGAGGTTGGACAAACGACTCCATACCCCAATGTATATTCTCCTAGGGAACTTTGCTTTCCTTGAAATCTGGTACATTACCTCCACTGTGCCCAGCATGCTAGTCAATTTTCTCTCAGAGACAAAAACCATCTCTTTCATTGGCTGTTTCCTCCAGTTCTATTTTTTTACTTCCCTTGGTACAACTGAAGCATATTTCCTGTGCATCATGGCATATGATCGGTACCTCGCTATCTGCCGCCCATTGCACTACCCGACCATCATGACCCCACAACTCTGCTATATCTTGATGTCTCTTTGCTGGGTTTTTGGGTTTCTGAGTTATTCTGTCTCCACTGTGCAACTCTCTCAATTGCCTTTCTGTGGACCCAACATCATCAATCACTTCCTGTGTGACATGGATCAACTACTGGCTCTGTCTTGTGCCCCAGCTCCTATCAGTGAGATCATCTTCTATATCCTGAGCTCCCTCATTATCATCCTCACTCTTCTGTACATCTTTGGCTCCTATATTCTTTTGCTGATAGCTGTGTTAAAAGTCCCTTCAGCAGCTGGCCGACAGAAGGCCTTTTCCACCTGCGGATCTCATCTGACAATGGTGTGTTTATTCTTTGGGGCCCTCTTGGCTATATATGTGAGCCCCACAGCCGATAACCCAGCTGCATTTCAGAAGATTATGACTTTGTTCTATTCTGTGGTGACTCCCTTCTCGAACCCCCTGATTTACAGCTTACGAAACAAGGAGATGAAGGCTGCATTGAAGAATATCCTGAGGATACAGTGAGCACAAGGTAATCTATGCGAGACCAAGCAAACCACCGTCCAGACATAAAAGACTAATTAAGAAAGATTCTGCTGCTACTTCTCCAATACACACTTTAAAGAAGATATTTTTTCTCAGGGGGTCCCTGATTGTTTTATTCCTCAATTTCCCTTGAGGCAGAGCTAAACCATGGTTGATTCATATTACATTCCATGTGTAACAACCACGTTTTCAACATGGGTGACTCCAGTGGGGGAGATATGAGGGCATTTTATCTGTGCTGTTTCATACTGTATAGTTGTGATTATTGGGAGGTGAGGTGGAAGGTAGAAGAGCAGTTATCTTAGGTGAGTCACCATTGGTATACTTAAGGTACTTCTTAACACAGTTCAATAATTTTAAAAGTGAATAAAGGATGAAATTTAAATGCCTGACACATTTTCTTGCGCTCTTGGCTCTTGATGATTGAAAGTCTTCCAGACTAGGGACAACTAAAAGTTTCATGCTTATGTTAATGTAAGTGGCATATGTTTTAACATCACATAAAATAGTAGTAATTCTTTTATTCAACAAATATTAACTGAGTACCTGCTATGTTCTAAACACTCTTCTAGGCACCAGAGATATGCTATGACCAAAATGGTCAAAACCACTATCACATGGAGTTTAATTTCTAGCAGGGGAGAGACAATTAAAAAATAAGTAGAATATATAGCATGTCAGAGAGTGGTAAGTGCTATGCAGAAAAGGCAATGAACGAAGGCAGGAAATGTAGGCAAAAGAGCTGAAGTGTTAAATAAGGTGACGAGGGAAGGCTACACTGAGAAGGTTACGTTGAAGCAAAATCTTGAAGAAGATGAGGAAATGAGCCATGTAGACAGCTGAGCAGAGGGACGTGTGGACACGCAAGCAGAGGGAAGGAAGCAAGTTCTCCACAAGAACTTGAGGCAGGGTTGTGTCCAAGTTACAGCAAGGAAGTTGGTTTGGATGGAGTAGAGAGATTAAGAGAAAGAATATTAGGGATGAAGTCAGAAAGTGAATGGGATTCCAAATTGTGTGGGAGCTTGTAAATCATAGTAAAAACCTTTTTAAATTATAATTTGACAGATTATAATTGCATATATTTATAGGGCACAAAGCGATG